TCAGCTCAACAGCATACCTTCTTGAAGACAAAAGGTTGCGCCCGCGCTCTGTTAGTTGCAATAACTGAAGCGATGACATTGTTGCTAGATTGGCCCTCTTCGACCAGATATATACAGCTAGCTAGAACAGCTGAGCTGTACAGGCATCTGAATGATCAACTAGAGACAAACAAAACACAGAGAAGCAAGATTGTCTACTGCTACCGCGCAGCACAATGGACAGAATTAGAGTCTGCAAATATGGAAGAGACGACTGTTACATGGCAATTCAATATGAAACGCCACAACGCTGTTCAGGAAAGGTATGGAAATAAAATCACTAGCAGTTATAATAAGTTAACAAAATAGCAAAGATAAGGGGACAGTAGCAATGAGAGGAATCGGTTCCTGTGTCAGGAGTGCGAAGGATGTGACGTGACCAGCAGGCCATTGGAGGATCTAAAAGAGCACTGCCATGACCAGCAGGCCGGTAGTTAAGGTCATGGTACTTTCCAGTGCTCTTGGTCCGCATAAATCAACGCTACTACGCTACAACTAATAACCACTAGCCAACTATAAACCACCTTGTTAAGCTGAGTGGTAGAACTTTGGGCCTCCGGTCTGACAACAGAAACCGGGTCACGCTTATCACGTTAGCAGAATCAGCATCAGCACAAACACATGGAGGAGGTGGAGGAGGAGATTGACCTTGCCTCCCACCTACCAACTGCATGAGCAGCCAGTCTGCCAATGGAACATCCAGCTGCAGCAATAGCACGGAGTGGTCCGTAAAAAAACATGGTACAAGAACAGTGATAGAACGGGACCCTTGTGTCGACATGAAGCCATATCTCATACATAACACATTGGTAGGGTAGGGTCTATGCGGCACCACGGTTTGCAGCAAGCAATACAGCATAAATAAGATTCGCAGTGGAGCGCCCACCCAACAACTAGTATGCAGCAGAAGCAGAAGTGAAGGGTTTGGGGGAGCAGTAACTGCGCCCCTGCTCCAAGCAGCCCCCACTATTCCAGCAGTAATCAGTTGGAGGTGAACAGAATTAATTCGGTTGGCATGAGAGTGCTCTAGTTGAGGCGACGCGAGGCAGGCATAGTACGAGCTGAAACTGTTGGAGAGCACCACAGGGGGTCAGCCGTCAGCAATGGCGCCGTAGCAAAGCAAGCATACAGGCAGGGCTGAGAAAAAATTCCCGCCCGTCCCCCAAAAAGGGAAGCAAAGCCGCTTTTCGCTAGCGGCACAGGCAGGAAGTAGTAGTAGTAGTAGATACGAAAAGCGAGGGGGGCGGCGACCCGCGAGACGGGCGCGTGCACAGGCTCAATCGGAACCAGCGCCACCGGCAGGATGGGAGGCGATCGAATTCGAGCGGAGCAGCAGAAATCGGTGGGACTGGAAGAGCGGCGGGTCGGGCGGGTGGGTACCTGAGTGTCGCCGATCGGGGATCGCCGGTGGCCGCCACCGCACGAGGAGACGAAGAAGCGCAGAGAGAGAAAACGAAAAATTGAGGAGGCGGATATAAATAAATATACAAAAAATACTCATCACAGGTAACAAGAGAAGGCGGAGAGAGAGACGGCGACGGGGAGGAGGAGGAGAAAGAGAAGCGATTCCGTGTCCCGTCCCGCACCGGTACGACATGTGTGTGCAAGTGCCGTGTGAACACGCACAGCGGATTGGTTACTTGGGGTCACTCACCCGCACGGTCGGTCTCCCTCACCCCTGCACTGCATGTGAAAGCCTTGAAAAGCTAAAACACTCTATTTTTTAAAAAAAAAATAGCTTCGAAATTGTCTTTAAGAACCGTTTATAAGTAGCTTTTTATAAAACTCGACTCAGACTAATATTAGATGCATACGACTAATTATTAGTCATCTAGTTTGTAGTCCGAATTGGCTGTAGTCTATCCTAACCGAAGTTTAATATGTTAGCCAAACTTAGGGCCTGTTTGTAAAAGTCCGAATTATGAAACTACAATCAGTATTAATTTGCGAGAGTAATCTTTTAAGCCTAATTAGTCTATGAAGTACAAAGTAAAATGTGCTAATGATAGATTAATTAGGCTTAAAAAATTCGTCTCGGAAATTAACCTTCATCTATGTAATTGGTTTTGTAATTAATTTATACTTAATGCTTCTTATTAACCTCTAAATATTTGATGTGACATAAATTTTAGAAGCGACTAAAGAACCAAACAGCCCTTTACAACTGGGCATCTCTAAGAGTACGCAATATTTTCTCAAAAAAACATGGAGTTTTGTAACTCTAAAAAAATATTAAAAAGAATAAAGAAGACTATCTCCAAGAGTATCCAATAATCTACTCCTAAAATATATAGAAGATAATTTTACATCTTATACTATTTCTAAATTATCGTAACCACTTTTATATACTCTTCATCTCCAGTACATTTGCATCAGGAATCATTTTCTATTCTTTATTCTTTTTTACGCCCTTTCGCCTTTAGATTGGCCAACCTATACGCACGAGGAAAGAAAATACGCCCGACCTAGAGTCCCCAGATCTTTACGCGAAGGGGTTTTTTTTTCCAAAATGCCAAAAGATCGGGAGATGAGTTTAGGGGTTGTTAGAGATGGATTTTTTTTTTATTCTTTCCAAAAATCATGGATTGAAAAGGATTATTGGGTACCCTTGGAGATGCTCAACTAGCCGGTCAACCCAGCTAATTTAGACTAAGCTTCAACTAATAACTAGTTCTAGCTGACCTAAATAGGCTTTAAAAAAGATAAAGAAGGTAGAACTGAAACTCGACAAAAAGCTCCGGCAAAGAAAACCATAGGAGACAGGACCAAACCAAATCACTGTTGATGTCACGTTGTGATTATCCTAGCATTTGATAGGGCTTCTTTTGCAAATGGCTCCACATAAGAAGTCAAAGAAACTGAAAAAAAAAACATATTTAAGTTGCTTCACCTTCCTAGTAGTAAAAAAACAGTTTATCAGCTATGCAGCTTCTTCGTGGAACCATTTTATGAGCCAGGGCTTGTCAGGATTTCAGCCGAAAAGCTAGCCTCGTTTGCTTGGAAGAATTTGAAGGAATCTGAAGAAATTTATAAAAGCGTGAACAATGATTTTCAGCCATGAATCATGAATTCCGGCTGGTTTTTGCACCAGCCGAATGGCGCCAGAAATTGGAGTTGAAGTCACTTGAGTAGTCGAACCTATGTACCTTATAAAAATAATAATCTATGTGTATATATTATATATACTGTACCTTTATTTCTAGGACAGTAGGACTAGTAGTACTAGACTGCTAGTGAGTCCAGTGAGAATGAGAATCAAATCCCATCTCTGCTCCGGACCGATTTGTTTAATCATATATCATCCTTTATATATATAATCTAATCACGTGAAAACCTTTGGCGTCTTCGTATCCATCCATAAGTTTTTTATGTTATGTTATGTGATGATAATAATATATACAGCACGGAGTACTTGTCTATCTACTAGTAGTCTAGTAGGATGGGAGTCCTCTTCGAGGTGCACCGCTGGACCGGAGTAAACTAGGAGTAGTTTGTTGCCGAGGCAATAGTAGTAGAGACACAAGAGTGATCGGTGACGAGGGCGAGGCCGATGCTCTAAACTATTCATTTTAGGTCTTATTCGGTTGCACATCAATCTATATATGTTGATAGGCATTGGAGCGGATTGATATGCTGGCAAACAAAGCTTTAGTTACATTATAAGTCTTTTCTTTTACAAAGTTTCTAAGAGCATCTCCAACACTTCGATAAAACACGCACAATCTTGATTCTTTAGCGGGATGAGTAAAAACCTCATTCCAACACTTGTCATCTGTTAGTGCCGAGAAAAATAGAGGCATCTACACATAAAGACACGCAGACAGCCATTGTTCTCTATCAAGGGACAAAGATTTTTTTTTTCTTCGACACTCCATTGTCTTATCACTGATACCAGCTAGAGGTTTGCCAGAATTTAATCTCCGGCCACTATATAAGGATACTGAGAAGTAGAGCAGATAATGGACATTCCGGTGTGTGTGTTGGTTCTGAGTTCGGATATCAGGATGGTCGGTTACAGTCAGCCATGGATCGATGAAGGAGCAACCGTCGCTGGCATTCTAGTGTGTGTGTTGGTTCTGAGTTCGGGTATCTGGATGGCCGGTTACAGTCAGCCGAGCAACCGTCGCTGGCATCTGGGAGGTTCACTGGAATCGGATCGCCGACCACTATTATTATTTATTAGATTTGCCTATTCAACTTAGTTCTTCGGAGTTGTTCATATGGATAGAATGTGCGTGCGTGCATGCGTTCGTGGGGACGAGTATGCACTCGTGTATACGAGCATGTGCGTATGTGACTGAATCTAGCGAGAAAAAATAAAATCAGAAGGGGAGAGGACAAGAGGTGGGACGTGGTGGCGGTCCACACGAAATACGATACTTCTCCTGCTAGTAGTAGCAAGTGTGGCGAAATTGTTTCTCAAAAAAAAAAAATGCAAGTGTGGCGAAATTGCTTTGCGGTTGCATTGCAGTGCGCACGAGTTTTCTCGACACAAAAGGCAAGGGGGCCAAGGGCAAAGCTGTGTTTCTACTACCTGATTCACTTCACGTGGGCAGCGGCCCGCAGCCCGCAGCCCGCTTCGTTTGTGGGGGCCTTGGCTCTCGGGGGATCCTCGCCAGGCCAACACCAGACCAACACAGGCCTGGTTGGCCCAAATCCCAGTATAGTCGTGGATGCCGTTCCCGCCACCAGATTGGCGACGACGTAGCGCCTTCCTCTGCCGCGCACGCAGTCTGCCCTGCCTTGCAGTTGCAGAGAGCCAGAGACAGACAACTCTCTGACTCTTCCATGGACATGGAGAATTGGAGATGCTGCGACTCTTCTTCTTTCTTGTTCTCCACTGCAGTTGTCCGCCTACTTAGCTAGCCTTTGCCAGCTGCCTCTCATCTCCAGCTAGCCTGGCCTCCTCCAACTGGATCGGCAACTCCCATTGCCCTGTCGCCTCGCCTCGTCTCCGTCGCATGCCACCTCCTCTGCCTCGCTTCACGGCCGCCTCCGGAGGATCCTCCGCTGCCGCCGCGCTACTGCCGCTGCACTACAGGCCGGAGTTCTCCACGGCAACGGCGGCGGACATGGCGGGGTCGCAGGAGAAGCAGTCGGCCCCACAGTCGCAGCCCCCGGCGGGCGGTGGCGGCGTCGCCGACCGCATCATGCCGCACCTCCTCAACATGTAAGCTAGCTTATCATTACCCTTTGCTTGCTTCTCTTCTCGTGCTTCGCTCGATCTGCTCTTTAATTGTTACGTATTAGTCAGGAAAGAATTCTTTCCATCTCTTTAATTTGTTTATATATATGGTTTGGGGGAAAATAATTATATATATGTGTGCCGTTGGTGAAGATATGGATCGTGCGCGACGGCACGGGACTTCGAGATGTACGCGCCAAACGCGACATTTGAGGACCCGCTCATGCGTGCTCACGGGTACGTCGTCCAGTCTCCTGTCTCTATCGCCCATGCCATCGTCGTTGGCAGGCACCTTCAGCAATCAGCATGTAGTAGTGTTCATCATCAGGTCTAGTATTTATTTCTCTCAATTAATAGTGGTTACTGCACTGCATGCGTACTACAAACAGGGTTAAGCAGATCAAGTCAGCATTCTACACGCTGCCAAAGGTAAACACCAGCTAATGATACTACTCCGATCCTAACGAGTGGGAATTAATGCCCCGTGTAGTGTCGCCGTTGTATTTGACTGCTGACGACGGTTGTTTTGAAACCGAAACATGCATGAAAGAGCAGGTGTTCGGGGAATCCAAGATCACGGAGTACACCGTACAAGAGAATCCGATGGGGCCGGGCAAAACCGAGGTATGCGATTGCTATTGCTACGTTGTCAATTGGATCGGAAAGAACAAGAACAACCCCCCTTGCCGATCGCTGTCCACGTCTACAGCTAGCTTGGATGCTCTTCATCTTCAGTGCAGTGCATGTACTGTGTCTGTGTTTGCTGAAATGGACTGAACTGAAATGGTCATGCACGATGATCGATCAGGTGGTGATCGAGAACAAGCAGCACTACAAGGTGCTGGGCAAGCCGGTGGACCTGACGACGCTCATCAGGCTGCAGGTGGAGAACGGCAAGGTGGTCAAGCACGAGGACTGGTACGTAACGTACCTCGTCGTCTCGTATTCATTCGTATCGTGTATACATGCTGCCGGCCTGATTCTCGACACGTACTGTATCTGTATGTATGTATACGTAGTGTACGCAATGAATCTGCTAACTGATGATACTGTACAACGACGGTGCAGGTGGGACAAGAAGCCTCTGAAGAACAGGGACACGGTGGGCCTGCCGCTGGTGGGGCGACTCGCGGAGGCCAGCCGACGGGGCGCCATGCTGCTCACCCACGCCCTCATGGGCTTCGGCAAAGACCCAAAACCAGCCCAACCCCTCCTCCTCCTCCTTCACAGTCGTCACAACACTAGCTAGAGCCTGCCATCCGTTATTTTCATCATCATATCAATCTACTACTTGCTCTCTCCAGTAGTCCAGTAGTGTGTATTTCGGCTGTGCTTATTATTAGCTATTGCCACAAGTGTTGCGAGTCCAAAAAATGTATTTCTGTTCATGTTAATGGAGACGATAGATATTGATTCACAATGCAACTTTATAGTTTTGGACTGATAACGCAAATTTACTATAAAGTGTAACGGCTGCGTACAATGGGTTATTCAGCGTCCGGTCCATGAATTATGTCATCTATGTCTATAGTGGTGCCTAGCTCACTTCTTTTTTTTTTTTTTTTTTGCATCCTGTACGATTTCCTGTACATGTTCTTTAGTGACACAACTTCTGAAACATCTGAGAGGGATAACTCTATTTCTAGGAGAGTATTGCTTTTTACCTTTCGTTTTGGGATTTTGTTTTGACAGAAAAAAAAAAACACAACCGTCAGTATTTGTCTCCGCGGATCAGATAATTTTAGTGTTGCTTTCTAGCACATGCCTTCCCTCGGTGTCGGTTCCTTCCTTGGTTGTAAAAGCAAAGCAGGAAGCAGCAGCAAGTGAAAGCAAAGCAAAGGTGCAGTGCTGGTGCTGCACATTTGCACAGTTGCACTGGGGATGCCAAAGCTAAAGCCTAAAGCCCCTGGGGCCTGGGCCTTGTCTTTGAGGAGAGGAGAGGCCACTTTGCATTGGTTTGGTTGGCCATCTCCTCTCTCCCTCCCTCCAACCAATTCCAATTTCCAGAGTCCTAGCGCAACGGAAAACTCTCTCCGTCTCTCTCTCCCGTCCTCTGCTCAGCGTAACTGCGTTTAGTTAGGAGGAGGAGGAGATTCCGTTCCTCCCTTCCCTTGTCTTCCGTTCCGTTGCGCATGCGGTGGGGCATGATCGCATAGCACTCGCATCCGAGCGAAACGGCATCGCCGCATCGGCAAGCCACAGCCCACGGCCCCTGCAGCCACCGCTCACACGCGCTCCTCCCTCCCTAAGTCCCTAGTCCACTCCAGTCGATGAGACGCCTCGAGGTCGCCGCGCTCGCCCTCCTCATCGCCGGCGCCGCGGCCGCCGCCCTCGTCCTCTTCCTCGCCCTCTGCCGAGACCGCCGCCGCCGGGGGAGCAGCATCATCAAGCGGCCCGCGGCGCCCGAGCTCCCGCTCTCGACGCCCCGCGCGCCCACCACCACCACCAAGGGCTGGCGCCACCACCAGCACCACCTCGCCCTCCTCCTGCTGCTCTGCTCGGGCCGCCGCCGCCGCCTCCGCGCGCGCGTCGAGCCGGCCGCCGCGCCGCCGGGCTCCCGAACGACGCCGACGGACCCGCCGTATCCGGCCGACGCGCCGCCGCCGTCGTCCACGTCCACGGCGGTGCTGGAGGAGGAGGTGGCGGCGTGGCGGGAGCGGTGGTTCGGCGGCCCCGTCTCGCGGGCGCTCTACACCATCTACGAGGAGCACGACGAGGAGGAGGAGGAGGAGGAGCCCGCGGGCGCCGGCGACGGGCAAGAGACGGAGACGCCGTTCTACACGCCGCCGACGTCGCCGCCGCCTGCGGGCGACGGTGGCAACAACGGAGCCACCGCGTACGCCGTTCCGATCCAACTGACCCAGTGAATTAGATTAGATGACGACATTAGCACGCATGGTGCCATGTAGGTGCATACAGCTAATATTTTTTTTGTACCGTGAGTCTGTGACCGTGATGCGATCAGCCTCACAAATTCATAAGATGTTGCTGCCATTTAGCTCTAATCTTTATCTTTACGCTACCAACTTAGTTTTGCTCCTGCTATAGTCCACTGTCAAGCACTATTCACAATCGAAATGCTGCTTGTGTCAGGCAAGGTTATGGGTTATCTGGCGAGCAATCAAACAAGCCATGCATATTCTGCAATAATAAAAAGTCAAGACAAGTCGACCAGCAGGCAGCAGGCAGCAACATCTCTGTTGTTGTTGTCGTCTCTGAAATTCTCTTGTCTGTTCCCTGACTTCCTTCTCTCTGTCTCCTTCAGATTCCAGCACCGGCTGCTGGCTGCTGCTGCTGCTCTCTCTCTCACACCTTCTGTGGATCGGATGGATTTGCTTCCAAAAAAGTTGCCATCGGGCAAAGTTAGAGCCCGTTTGGCCGGCCTCCGAGCGGCTCCGGCTCCTCTGACTCTTTCTCTATTGGTCTCCTGTAGCGATACTGTTTACCGGAGCTATTTTTTTCTCTCATTCTTTCCTCTCTCACTGATAGCGCCGGAGCCGAAGAAGCTCGTTTTTTTTCTCCTCCAGCTCCAGCTCTAGCTCCTGCGCGCTATAGTTACGCTATAGTGTAGGAGCCCAAGCTGGCGAGAGCCCGACTAAACACGCCCTTAACTGGGCGAGCATAGCCAATGCATTGCCGTGTAGGTTTGCAGCTAATTAAGTGTATTTACTCCACTTTGTCGATAGACCTAGTCTTTGTTGACCGGCCGGCCTTTTGCTTTCACAGACACTGAGACAACACACACAGGTCTGGTCTGGTCTGGTCCGCGGTCACTTTAATCCTCTTCTTCACTGGAGAGCTGAGCAGTTCACGCATGCCTCATGGAGTGACCAGGTCGCTCAAGATGATTCCTGCTCCCTGCCGTGCGGGCCATGCATTTGGCATTGGACCCACTTCCGAACGTGTGTGTACGTTCACATCACATACATACACGTATATATACGATGTTGTGTCTCGGGTGCAAATTCATCGAGTGGATGGAGCACTTATATAAATTTAGGACTATAAGCCTATGGTTGCTAGAACAGTTGGTCAAGCCTCCGGGTGACGTCCTCCGTGACTAGAATTTAAATCCTTGGTCAGACGAATTTTTAGTCGGTGGTATGGAAAAAACCCTCTCCTGTCCTGCGTTTCCAAAGCACAGGTAAAATGGATCGACTCTCTCACCGGGTAACGGACCCCTGTGTATGGGTGGGGCATGGGGTTCAGGGATTTTCTCAGGCCGGGTGAGAAATTCTCTACCTTAAACTAAAATAGTTCTTAAACGATCCCGATTTCCTCGAAGGCAAATCCACAGATTCGAAGTATAACATAATAGTCTCAGACGATCATTCCATCACATTATCCAATGACAGTTGATATCACAGTCATACATCGAATATCTGTCTTAACGAGAGTACAAATAGCAAGGTTTACTCATTATTACATCGCCGCTTGGCGGAATCACTCAGAGCATGCAACAACTAGAACAGCATCAAGTAGAACGGCAGCGGACGTCGACTCCATCTTCACGAACCAAACTTGAGCGTAGGAACAAGACCTCTAATCCTCCCAACCGTCTTTCTGATAGTCGTACTCAGACTCGGAACCTGCCAAACAATTATCAATATGATTTGTACTGGCCACTGGCTCCCACCCTATGCTCTTGCATTTGCTTTGTGGTAGTGGAATGCAAGGGTAGAGCAAAAGACCTATTTGTGGCTGTAGTTTTCTATGTGAGTATGTCAAATTTTAATAATAATACATCAAGTTTTAACCCATCTCATCCACACGTTCTCCCATCCCCATCACACTCATCTCACCACTCTCACTCTCTCTAGGCGACAAGGACGACTCCCTCTCGTGCCTTGCCTCATCGGCCAAAGCCGGAATCCAACACAAGAACCCAGGGGGAGAGAAGAAAGGACTCCACTCACTAATCAAGGGAAGCGTAGGTCATAAGAATGTCCATATCCGAGGATGTGGTTATACGTATAGATCGATCAACTCTGCAGAGCGTGTACACCTAGAACCACAAGATCACCATCATCGGCGGTACCTCGCCTAGGCTGATACTGGGCTACCTTCCAACCGGTGCGATGCCACCCTACCACTCAGCCCTAGGCCACCCCGGAGTTCACCAAAACGCTGAGACTGTGAGACGTAGTATCGGGCCCCAAAGGTCACTACGTTGTCTTAGGAGGATGTGGGTCACACGCCCGTACCTTCCAACACTATCCACTTCCAACCTAGTAGTAGTGGCACCGTCCTAGCTAGTCAGCATCCGTCCCCCGTCCATTCAGGAACGAGTGGCATGCACATAGGGTCCTATGATCGGGTTCTCTTGACATACCAGTCCTTAGAGGGATTGGACATGATATCTTCACAAGGGGCCAACCAATGCCCCGTGCCTCGATGGCACCTCCATCCCGAGGCTTCATCCCACAAAGACACTCCACCCCGGGATCTCCTCATCTCACATGCACCCGCCATAGGTACCTCTCGTAGGGGATGCCTAGGTCGCACGCACCCGGCAAGACTCGTCCAACGACTCATCGTAAGATCCTGCCTGATTGACTCAACCCTCAACACACACCCAAGACTCACGCCAAGATCTCCACATTATCGGCACCAAGTGCCTTAACCACTCACAAACAACCCTCCACCAAGCATCACATCACAGATATAATGCATAGTAGAAGCAATAGCAAGTAAGTAAACGAGCATCTAGCCTAACAGCGGGTGTGCAGGGGTATAGGTTGCGACAAGGTAATGGCTCACAAGCAATTCTACCATGCAACCTATCATAGATCATTTGCATAAAATAAAGCACTATCATCTACATTATAGCTTGTCTAATAGGATTCTACGAGATTGGGTGGGACGTAGCACCTGGCAGGTCGTCTCCAAGCTCCTCAGTGTAGTCCGGGTCGTGCTCCTTAGTCTGCGGCTCCTTCAGGTCTGTCAAATGAGACATATAGCCGTAATAAGCGACTCCTATAGATGATCGTCAAGAAGCAATAGAAATTTAAAAAATCCAAATTTACTCAAACATAAGCCTATGACGTAGAGCTCATTTTTAGAAAAATTTGGACTCTGGTTTCATATTTTTCTGAAGTCATATGAATTTTCTATGAATTTTCCAAGTTTAAATCTTATTTTCAAAAAGAAAAGAAATGGAAAATCCAGGGCTTGAAACGTGGCAGCATGGGATTGGTCGAAGTGGCGTGAGTCAATGACAGGTGGGACCGTGTCAACGGCCAGCGTTGACCAGGCTCGGACTGGGCTTAGCGGGCCGGATAACAGACCGAGTTGGGTCGGCCCGGCCCGGACACGTGTCGCGTAGGCAGGCGGCCACGTGGCGCAAGTGGGCTACTATTGGGCTCGGGTCCACGGGACTGGTCCATGGTGGGCAGCGCGGTGCGGGTCCATGGACCGTAGGCACGGTCCGCGGTGGACCTCGTCCACTCCTCCCTCTCCTCTCTCTGGCTCACGGTGCGCCGGGTGCACGGGGCGGCAGCGGCGCAGTGACTCCCTCTCTCTCTATCTCACGGCAGCGCTCCTCGTCAGCGGTGAGCTCGCACGTTGTCGCGCTATGGTGACTCGGCGGGGCTGCTAGAATGCTCTACGGCTTCGTGGGCTCACGACGAACTCGCCAAGGGGCTAAAGGCGATGGCTTGGGGTCCTAGGTGGCCGACAAGGACGCCATGGCGGTGGACGACAGCACGGGAACGGCGGTGAAGGCATCCGGGGCTTGGCAAGGCTCCGCACAGGGGTCCTTCAGCTTCCTGGTGCTCCAGTGAGCACAACTAGGGCACTAGATGATACTCTAGGGGCTCCAGTGAGGTTGGCCACGGCGACAGCGGCTCAACGGCGACGATGGGCTACGACGAGGTGGCTGCGGCCACGATCGGAGCCAAAAGTGGCTCTTTTCCTTCAATTGGGATTGTGGGGAGGCTGATCGGCCTACCGGCGGTGAACAAAAAGTGCGGACGAAGTCCACACCGCGGCGAGGTGCGCTGCGGAGCTCCGGCAAGCTTGCGGCTATGGCCAAAAAGTCAAGGCGGGGTCTTTCCATTCAACTAGCTACATGGCAAGGTGCGCGGGGTCATGGCGAACATCAACGGCCAAATCTCGTCACGTGAGGTGGCCGGAGTTGGCCGGATTATCCCCGACACGGCGGCGACATGGGCGCGCGGCGGCCCTGCGAGGTGAACATGACCAGCGGCCCTTCGAGCTTCTTCTTCTTCCATCTAGTGCACGACGTGTCCCTCGGTGAGGTGAAGCTTGCCGAGGCATCCTTCTTGACTCTACCGGTGCGAGGTGGCCGGAATGAGGCGGCGACACGATGAACGCCGACCATGGCAACCGCGGCGGATGCGTAGTGTTGGCGCCGGTGTTCTCGAGCACCAGTGGCTCGGCAAGGCCAGACCTTGGCTTGTGTGCGTGTGTATAGAGCAACACAACGGCGAAAAAGGCCGGCCTTTGGCCCTCCCAAGGGGGAGAACACAACGGTGCGACATGGCATGTCCATGGCGGCGAGCATGGGGGCTTTGGGTGCTCACCGGTGGTGGCGGGGTAGATAGGCTAGGGGTGCGGTGGTGAGTCGAGGTAGTGGCGAGTCGAGGCAGTGCAGGGAGAACCACGACATTGGTGTAGCCGATCGGGGTGGTGTCCTCCGCTCCAGTGGCTCTCCGATGGATCGGGGCTCCTCCCTCCCTCCTTCTCCTCCCTTCTCCATTCTCTTCTCAGGCTTGGCGTGTGGTTGGTGAAGCCACCAATGGCGGTGGGTGGACGAAAAAGCGCTAGGGCACCGGCTCGGGGCTTTTATAGCCCGAGCTCGGCCATGGCGATTGGTGAACGGCGGATGGAGGGGAGGGGGTACGTGGAGGGCGATCAAGGGCTCCGACTTAGGGTTTTGGGGTGTGGGGTGGTTGTGTGGGCGCAGGCGCCTCCAATTTCGAATCCCCGGTGGTCAAGGCGAGGACGGGCGGTGTCAGGGGGCGTGGGTCCGTGGCGCGATGTCATGCACGTCGCGACGCCGGCTGGGAGGCGAGGGTGCGCTGGGGCTACGGACGTGGAGCACATCCGCGCGTTGGAGCATAATGGCTAGGGGCGTGGATGGCCATGGTGTACGGTTGACCACGAGATTCCCCGTCGCCGGTGCTCTGCTTTTGGAAAAGCAGAGGAAGGGCGGGGTTGGGGATGATAAAGTGGTCCGGGGCTGTCGATGGGGGAGAGAAGTCGACGACGATGACGCGTCGCGACGTGGTGAGCGGTGGTGGGCCTTCTTTGCCGCAACAGTCTTTGTGGGTGGGAGAGCGTGTGCCATGGTCAGCTTGGGCTGCTTTGGTCTTTCTATTTATTTCCCCTTTTCTAATTTCTTTTCTATTTCCATTTCTATCTCTATGCTATACCTTGGACTTCTATGCATGTATACATGTGTTGCTAAACATGTACACATCCTTGTGGGGTCCACTAGGGGTCAACTAGGGTATTAGGGTCAAAGCCAAGGGTCGACAACACACACACAACAAGTTTGGTGAAAAGGTTTAGTTGATTTTATTACATCACATAAAATCAAGAAGATGCAACTCACATGTTGTCTAAATATGCAAATGCTCAACCATGCTAACTTGGGATCTACTTGTGCAACTACAAGAGTGGTTTCCTAGTATGCACACTCACCATGCATGGATTTTGTTAGAAAAAAATTTAAGTTGGGATTTTTGGTTATTGGAAAACCTGGGTTGTTACAAGTTCGAGGGTGTCTGCCCCCCGTAGGACGACTTTTTTTTAAATTTAGGACTATAACACAACATGCTTAAGCCAGTCCCAATCTAGAAACCATCTCTTAGTTTCTATACATGCTAAGACACCGCTCTTAGAAACTCCTCTTTCACATTGCATAAGGTCTTGTTTGGAAGTAGATATTGGACCGCTGGTATTGAATTGAGTACAAATGCCAAATCAGACTAGTATTGAAAATGGGCTATAATACCAAATCATAAGGTCCCCACGGTGGAGGTGGCTAACAGCGGAGGACGGAGGTGGCAGTGCAGCTGGCGGGTGGTGGGGATTCCGCGCCCAGGTGGAGATGGGCGACTGCGGTGGTGCTGAGTGTCAGGGTCCAATTTGACTCAATATCCAGGGTGGGCTCTATATTGGTATAAGGCCCTTCCAGTTATAGTTCAATACCATGGAAATGGGTCTCCGATGCCAAATCTCAATTCTATGTATATCCAAACAACAACATTGCGGTAACCTAATTCCAATTCCCAATTATAGGCTACAATATCGACTTCCAAACGGGTGTAATATCTTTTTGTGGACCCCATTCAATTTCAGCAAATGACCTGCAAGCTACTCTCTCTCTCTCTCTCTCTCTCTCTCTCTCTCTCTCTCTCTCTCTCTCGTCAGCTGGTAGCATTGCTTCTTGGCGCCGGTGGCGAGTGCGGTGGCGGGTGGCCCAAGTGCCGCCAAGCAGCTAGTGCGGCGTGGGTGCCTCCCGCTCCTACTAAATGTAGGCTTGTAGATCTACATCTTCCCTCACCGACTTTCATGGCGGCCACAACTGAGGCAAGCCAGATCCGGTCGGGGTGGGGTCAACCGTTGTGTGCACGAGGATCTCCAACGATGAGCATAGTGGTAAGCCTACGAACGAGGTGAGTCCAACGGATGGAAACGATACCCAAGCCTAACGTGATTCGGCTAGTTTCTTTGTTCTTTGGATAGCGTTCAGAAATCGTTTCTCAGCAAGGACACAAATTTTCTTATCTCTCCTCATAAAATGTGTTGTCAATATCAGCAAACTGCGGAGTTGGCAACATAATTAAAGCTATAGAAACACCCTCACCCATCGTGTTGGGGCTGGCCTCAAAGAAGGAAGGCACACATCATCTTCATGTTTATGGTGAAGTAGCATGGGCTATAATGTAGAGGACGTGCTCTTGCATACATGCAAACAAGCAAGATATAAGCTTGCAAATAGGTAAAGTCAAATTTGTCTTCGATGCAATATTTTCCCATCCCAACACCACTGAATATGTATGGGATGTAGCACACCCATCTCATGCACATCCAATGGCGCTGGGCATGGAGGCACATGCCCCTAAGAGGAAAAAACAGTGATGGGATTAATGCACATGTCCTAACATTTTCTTAGAAGAATTAACTAATTTTATATGAAAGAGTAGTATCGTCCATGTATCATCCATATCTAATTTTGTGCCATAAATATATTAATATTTTTTTTCTCTAAAATTCATTTACGTTTTTTATTTTTAACTTAGAACAACTTTAGAAGCTGATTTATTCAGTAACAAAGGGAGCATGTCGGTCTCTTCTCTTAATGGGCACCAATCAATGCAAGCATCATCTCTTCTGTTAATGACCACCAATCATTCAAGCATCTCAACTTTGTTGCACAGAGCACGACTCTGTATGTGGTTAAGCAAAGCAAAGCAAACGCACGCAGGAGTCCACTCTTTTGAGGTCATCACTCATCACGTCTTTTTTTTTCTGCAAATATATACAACTAATGCCTCTCCTTGTAATCCATGCATGTGCATCAAATTGAATTGGCCTTTTTAATCTGCTTGTGTAAAACTGGTGAAACGCCATCCCTAGCCGTTGATTTCATATTCTCGTCGTCGAGCAACACACAGCAGCGCTAATCTCCAAGCTTGTAAAAAGAACCAACAAACAAACAAACTGATGAAGAAACCAAACCCGGCCCTTCAATTCCCACGCGCATGCAAATGCAAATGCAAATGCAAATGCAACGCATCAACAAGCAATCCGATTATTATGCAGCACCATCATGCAAGGATCACCATCTCATATCATCATCAACTCCAATCCTTCCAACCACAGTAATAGCCAATGCATGTCTAAATTAGACACTGACACGAACACTAGCAGAGTACAATATACTGGAGTATACGTGTGCATCGTCTACAATTTCCAGAGCTGAAGCGCACGTCAGCACAGCAAAGCACGCACCCGTCGCGCTCGCCTCACCGCACGAACGACAGCCGCGGCCCACCGCCGCTCCCTGGACCTGCCGGAGACCCGGATCAGGGCACCGATGGCGACGAGTTCCCCGCGCACAGCACCTTGTGCAGGGACGACACCTTGCCGGTGACCAGGTCGGTGAAGCTGCAGCCGAGCGGCGCCATGCCCGTGTCCGTCTCCAGGAAGGCCCGCTCGTCGTCCGTCAGCGGCGGCGCCCCGTACGTGTACTTCCACCACCATGGCTCTGCTCCACTCTTCGCCGCTGCTGCTTCGGTTTGTTTGTGTGGCGACGGAGACGGCGGCGCGGCGGCCACGGGTTTGTGGAGCAGGGTGGTGCCGGTGATCACCACCAGGCTCAGCCTCCTGATTTCCTCCTTCAGCTCGGGGTCTAGCGGTTTGAAGGAGAAGGACCTCTTCCAGGTGTCCACTAGAGCGGATATGGCTGGCATCACCAGCCTCTCCACTTGCACTGACGCCAGCACCTGGTTCATTCACAGCGATTATGTTATCAGTCAGAGCAACAGTTTAACTTTCGAAAGGAAAAAAAAACATGTACAGTGACAGACAGACACGGTAGTGAGTGAGTGAGTGAGTTGGTGACAGTGTCGTGCACCTACCTTCTCGACAGCGTTCACCAGCCGACGCATCATTCCTTGTTTCCGGTAAGCTGGCAGTGTGCCTGCGAACGGCATCTCCGCGACCTTTGTGCCATGGATCCTGTAAATAAAAAGAGAAGCAAACCAAAGCATGCACAGCAATCATGTTATCTGACGCGGAAGTACAAATATTTTGTCTGAACGAAGTTTTTCAGACTTCGTTTGCAGCACAACATCCATAGGAAAATGGAAACCAAAGACGACTAGGGCAGGAACCGCAGGAACACATGTACTCCTATATCCTAGGCCCATACGTGAATATAAATCGGTCTAAATTAGGCCCACCTCAATTTTTGAATTCTTGGCGCCATGCAAGGGATGATAGCCTGAATGTATGTGATCACCAGGGCAAAGGAGAACTTAGCAATGCAACTAAGTGGAGCCAGTAATGCAGTTACTGCTGTTGGACCGTTGGTTTTACTAAGTTAATCCAAGTAAACTTACATGGGTATAAAAAAAAGCTTGCAATAATCTACTAATGGGCACAAACATAAAAAGTCCCTGAATCGATCCAAACCTCAGCAGGGCTGCTGAAATGATTTCTCCATCCTTCTCCAGAATTATGGTGTAGAATCCTTCGTAGCTTACCCGTTTGAATTCTGATCTGTTGAAGCACAAAAAACTTTTCTATAAGATAGTACATGCAGAAAAAAAGAGTGCTACTGTGTTATAACTTATAACTGGGTCGATCCAGTCCTATATCATCATAGCAGCAGTACAAAAAAAAGAATGCAGATGTCTCAGTCTGACTGAACTTACCCGAGGCTGTAGACAGCTTGGTGGAGCATATCGATCTTAGTTCGTCGATCCTTAACTGGGTTAAAGCACTCATTCAGCACGCCGAGCGCCACTGCGAGCTTCACGTTGCATTCAAGAACAACAGGACTGTTCTGTGAACTAACTGGCTGGTCTTTCTGAATCTTCAGTAGAGCCCATGAGAAACCATCTTCAGTATGGTTTGTTACGCCTATCATGTCTGATAACTGAACAGACACCTGAAACATCAAAAGAGAGTCTTCAGTACGGTTGGCAAGTAGAACAGATATGACACGGCTAGCAAAAAAAAACCAAATAAAATGGAAATCAGCAAGTATTTACCTTCTTGCAGGTTTCGCTACAGTATGCGCCGATGCCGCGCCCATTGCTTAGGGATGGACGGCAAATCTCATGATCTGCAGAGGCATTGTCATTGTCAGTTCACCACCACCAGTTCCTTTTCAGGAAACACAACAGGGGCAAAAAAAAAAAAAATCAAGAGATCGATTGAGACAGTGAGTGAGATGCGTACACTTGAGAGTACAATGTTGGCATGTGGACAAGCCCTGATCATCATTTGCCATGCACAGCACGCATCGGCAGTAGTGGCAAGCCCACGAACCCTCTGGAACCTGAAATGAAATCAGGCATCAACATTAGCTAGCATTGATTTATTCAGACAAGCAGCGCGAGCAAATCGATTGAGATTTCGGAAGCTTTGGTTGCTACTGCTGCGTCGCATACCTTCATGGCGAGGCACGACGGGTGGAAGGTGGAGGGGCAGCTGTCGCAGCACAGCAGCTCCCCACCGTCGGCGCAGACGCCGCAGGCGTCGTCGCTGGAATCCTTCTCGCCGGACCTCAGCTTCGTTCTGATTCTAGGAGACGTGATGACCCCCTCGACGGCTCCCTTCTTCTGCTTCGCGAGGAGCCTCCTCTTGGCCTGCGCGCTCTTCTCCTGCTCCTGCTCCAGCGCCGCCCTCGCCTTCTCCTGCACCAGGAAGATCTTGACCCTCTCCTTCTCCCACGCCTCCTGCATGCGGTTCAGGAGGGAGCTGCCGGACACGAGCAGCAGCTTCTCCCACGACGCCGCTGCTGCCCGGGGTCGTCGCGGCCGGCGTGGGCCTCGAACGCCGGCAGAGACACGACGGCGTCGCAGCAGCCGCAGTGGACTCCCGTCCTGGTGACCGCGCCTGAGACGACCTTGCCCTCGCCGCCGTCCACGGAACGTAGAACACCTTCTCTTTGTCGGACAGGAAGCCGGCGTCGATCAGCAATGTCAGTATGGTGTGCTTCTTCGCCGTCGTCGCCGCCTTTGCGACCGCGCTGCTCCTCCTGGCGACCACGTTGCACCTGCCGCCGCTGCTCGGCGAGGATGCAGCGTTCTGCTTCCTCTTTCTTCTGTTGCTTGGCGTTGGTGGCGGCAGAACTGGGACGATCTGAAGATCGTTGCTATCAGGTGGCTGGTTCTCGACGACGAGGTTTTTCGCGTCGGCGTCGGCGGCGGCGACCGTGTCCTTGTCTCCAGCCGTTTGCAGTCGCTGCTTCCTGGCGGCCCTCTGCCTGGGCTTCTTGGACGACTTCGGCTTGCTGCTGTCTTTGTCCTTGTCCTTGGGCGCGCGCTTCCTGACGCGGCCATTCGCCGCAGCGGCGACCTCCCCTCCAACCGTGGTCGGCATGGCGAGCACAGGGGGCAGGCGTTGCACCGCGCCATCTGTTGCTGCCGGCGGCGCCTTCTTCTTGCTGGCTGATCCGGTGGCGATCGTGGCGGCATCGGTAATCTGAAGCGGCCTCAGGTTTGGTGGTTTACGGCGGCCTGCGCCGCCACCTCCGGGACTGGGGCCGTACCTGCCGGAAACAGCGCTGCCGTGGACGACGACGGCACCCCGGCAGGCAACGCTGCTCCCACTAGCTCCTGGCGCCCCGGAGGCTAACGACGACGGCGGTGGTCGGATGGGAGGACCGGGGGACCTCGCGGAGGGGGAGAGCAGCAATGGCTGGCCTCGCGGGGACATGAACGCGGCGTAGTTGTGGAGCCATGGCGATGGCGGTGACGGGAGGTTACCCCATCCAGCTAAGTGCATGAGCTGCTGCACTATCTCCATCCGCGCCCCTAGTTGTCCACCGGGAGCACGAGCCACCATGGCAGCGTTTGCGGGGGCAACAACGCCGGTGGCTGGGAAGCCGTAGCCGGTGATGGGGCGTGCCTGTGGCGAACGCAACGCGGCGGCATGGGGAGGCCGCACGTATGCCCCGGCGCCGCCGCACGAGTTAAGCACGTGGAATGTGTTGCTTGCCGTGGCCGGGGCGGAGGCGACATTCTCTGGCCTTGCCGGCACCGGCGACGACGACGACATGCTGCTACCTAGCTAGTTCCGGGTGACAAACAAATTTTAGGACGCAGGATTAGAACGAAATGAATACATGCTCCCTTTGATGAGAATCTCAAAACAGGAAGCAAGTAAAAGGCATTAGCTACAAGAACAATAATGGTTGTAAATTGTAACCCAGAATTGCACATTTGCACCAACACAGCAATGCATGCATTATGAACATGATGACATGCAGCCGCTCAATGGAAAACCTGAATCAATAGTTTCCGCGGTCGTTTTTGCATTGAGCTGGACAACAGCAATGTAAGAACGCTCATCAAGTCAGAGGAAAAATTAATAAAACCTATGCAGGCGACTAGTAGTAGTTGATAACTACGCATCGTGTATTTTAGTGAAGATGTCCTGTCTTATCAACACTACCTCGTCGTGAATTCAGGTATTTTTAGTGATATATGTATACTACTACTATACTATATATGATATTGACACGTAGAATGGGGTTCTCTCTCCATTCACTTTGACCTGGGTTTCTTGTGGCCTTTGTAGTTGTTTCTCCGTCAATTTGTACGGTAAATTCGGCCATAGGAATGTAAACTCCGCTTGATTCGATCGAAACTAAATGAAAAAAGGGATATAGCAAAACAGAATCACAAGAAACCTAAGCTTCCTACTGCAGGTACCTCAGTTTCTCCTCTGCTCGACACCCCTCCATTGATCTTGCATTTTCCCCTAATTTTAGAAGACCTAGGGATTCTGCTCTTCTTCTTTGGGTCTGTGCAGGGCAGTGGACGTACTCTCGCCGGCGTCACAGTACATGGGTTCCGCCTCCTGCACTCGGGTGCTCATCTTGTCACAGTAAGATCATTCCACCATCATCCATTATTGCTGCTCTTTGAGATTAGTAGTTCGCGAGTTCTAACCAATTTGAAGTTATCCTTCTCCCATCTCTAACAGTGGTAGCTAGCAAGGGAGGAGCGGGGAAGTGGACATACCGCTACTCGTGGATTCAGTCTGAGTCTGAGGTATTAAACTTCGATTTGCTAATCTGCCTGATAGGCTGATTCATCTCTGGGCAATCCAATTGGTTGAAGAGTTAGTAAATTAAACTTTGTTGTGAGCCTGTGGGGATGTTTCTACGGAGTATTTGGACTTGGACACAACGGATGCAGCAAGTCTGGGGGAACTTAGGGGGTGTTTGGGAATCGCTCACGTTTTTGATCAGTCACGTTTTTTGACAAACAGTTTTACAGCCCACGCTGCTCGAGAAAAAAGGGTGGAGCGAGAATTAGACTGATTTATTCTGCTCATGATTTTCTGGGTAGATGACTTTACAGTACGCGAGAATTAGACTGATTTATTTCATGATTTTCTGGGTAATATTATTGCGGAATTTGCCTAGTGCGTTGGAACACAGTTGTAGAGAATTTTCTGTAGATTTCCAAGATGTATTTACTCGCCCCGTTTGGTTATTGGAATTGAGAGTTATGATTAAAATAGTGGGAACTCAGAAACTTAGCACTTTTTTTTCTGATGAAAAATATAAGTGTGGCCTAACAGTATTCTTGTTCGGCTGGTATTAAAGCCGGTTGATAAGCCATTCTTAACTGATTTATTGTGAGAGAAAAATACTGTAGATTCTAGTTGATAAACCGGCTGATAAGTTCAAGCGAACATGATTTAACTAGTCTCTCAGTGTGTGTATTCAGTATTTCAGTGTGGATGCGTTAACACTTAACAGTGGTATTGGGATGAACACATGAACACCTGCATGGTTATGGCAAATAAGATACTAAATATCGTTTAGTTGTATCGGGAGTACTTGGGAGTTAGCCAACTCATAGGAGCGAGATTAATTTGCAGCTCTAGCTGTACAAAAGCACAATTAGTAAGAAAACTAATGACGTCAACTAGTGTGATGTGCATACCTTTTCTCCTTGAAAAATGAAGTAAATGATGCCGATGAGATACTTTTGCTTACTAAATCTTTTACAACTAAAAAGTAAAAAAAATAAAAGAATAAAAGTAAGCCGAATGGTGCGACAATTTTGAGGTCATCGCTCTGCTTCTCCCCGTGCTAAAAAAATTTACCACACGCGCTCCGTTCCATCGTGTGAAACAAAATTTCGACACCGCGCCGTTAATCACCCACCCGACGCGCGCTCCTTCCTTCCCCCGCAGTACGATCGTGCGCTCCTTCCTCCCCTCCCCCGCGCGGTACGATCGTGTCGACCAGTGGCGTCAGGCCGCGTCGCCGCCACCACCAGCCCGTGTCCTCGCACCGCCGTCGCAGATCCATCGCTCCCGACGTCGCGCGCGACCCACCATCGGCGCGACCAGCACTGGCCTCGCCCTCGCGTCTCACGCGGCCTTGATCGTCGCCCGCCCTCGCCCGCGGGCCTCGCTAGACGTCGCACCCGTGCTGTCACCGTCGCCAGCCGCGGCCGCCCTCGCCCGCTGCACCTGCTCTGTGATCCCGGTGAGTCTTGCGGCCACCAAAGCGCCAGGTCACCGATTCTCGGCGCGGGCCGGCCACGGCACCCGACCGCGGGGATAGGGTTGCGTGCTCACCAACATCCACTCCGCCGCCGCCCGCTTGCTCACCGACATCAAGGCCAACCTCCGAGGTACTTCGTGCATGGTCGACCGGGTCTCGCCCTCGATGTTCACTTCCGCGTCCGAATCTAATGAGCTCCGGCCATGAGATCAGTTGTGGGGGGGCGCAGATGCCGAAGGATTCAGCGGGCGTAGCAGGGCGCCTTCGCCGAGGACGTCCCTGGATCGGTAGGCCGAAGTGAGCGCCACGGGGCGGGAGCCGGACGTGAAGACGCTGTCGCCGCGTGATGAGCCGATGAGGTACGGGTTCCTGTCACTCTACTCGTCCAGTTCGACGCTGCTTCATTCAGTCCGGTGCTCGCGCTGTGTTGGTGGATTGGTGGTACGTGGTGACTGACGAGAAGGTGAACTGGATGCTGAATCCATCCACTTGAGGTGGAAGCAATTGGGCTGTTGTGATGGTGGGATTGGTGGTACATCATCACTGACAAAGTGGTGAATTGATCAACTTGTGGTGGAAGTGTTGCTGTTCCAGACAATTGAAATGTTACTCGCTTGTGTGCTTCTTTGTTCTCATAGTGGTGCGCAGCAGAATTATGAAGCTCTGAATTCAAGCTTTGTGGGGCTTAGAAAAGTTGATACCTTTCAGTTAATACTTGCAGTTACCTTGTTACTTATTTTTTGGGCTTCGTCAATGCTCCAGGGTGTGGATTCCATGGACGCATATGGCTGAGCTGAGCTTCTTCTGAGCATTTTTTATATGACGAACTTGGGGGAGTTAGGTGTGTTAAACACAGTCAAATGGAGCATTCATTTCTGGTGAATTGGACCGGATATTGAGTTTGCGGGAGCTGTCAGGGGCAACATTCATGGTTCTATAGTTAGTCTATTTTTTTTATCTTGGTTAAGCCCACAAAAGTCCCCTTTGTTGAATGCTTAAATTCTCTAATTTATTTTGTTTGCTTAACCAGCTGGATCTTCACGTATAATGCTAAAATCTTTGTGGTTCCAGGAACTAGAAATAAGCCCCTCGCTCGGGGAACGAGGATTTCTCAAGCATACCAATTGAGACAACTTGTTCAACAAAGCTGACCTTTCCTCCAGCTTCAATAGTTAAACAACTGGTGTCTGCCATTGAGTAAGATCGTGTTCCTTAGCAAGCATTTGAAATATGTTCATAATTTTCACAATTTCTGGTTAGTTTAGTTTGGGGTATTTTATATCTGTTGGACCTTTAAAAAAATGAGAATTGTGTGCTGATGTTTGAGATTGTTGAAGCCTTGTCTAAACCTGAGGGCAGCAACAAAAGGTCTTTCAGTTTAAGCTCTGAATGCTGCAACCTTTTCACTCTTAAAAAAATCTCAAACGCTCAAGTTCTGATTGCTTTTGAGCTTCACTTTTTTTCTGATTGCTTTTGCATTCCTGTGATGATAGTGGGATCAGAGCTGAAAAGGCTACCCTTCTTCTGATTGCTTTTGCATTCTATGATGACAGTGGGATCCGAGTTGAAGAAGAAGTCATGTTTTTTTTCTTTGGCTACTATCCGACAAACCACATTGGCCTCCACATCATTTTCAGTTTTTCATTATTTTTTATTAAGCAGACAGTACCTACTAATACTAATTTATTTGGTGGTTATTACAATTCAGTAAAGGCTTTAGCTCCTCTTGGGCAGTTTCGGCGTCCAACGCTAATATAGCAGAACTCCAGCAGTGAAGACATTCACCGGAGTCTTTTTAAAATGTATCACCGTCCGACAGTTTAGCTCACCCTGTGCACGTTCTCCTCTTCTTTGTCTCATGCAGCATCTCCTATACAGCGTCTGGCATTAGTTCCAAGCAGTCAGTTCGATCCCGGTGATTAGGTAATTTCGCCCACCATTGTTTCATAGTCTCAGACTCAATTTAGTTTTAGGCTCGAAGTTTCTCTGTTTTAGTTTGATGGAGCTGTGTTAATTATTGTTAACTTTTGTTTTATGTGATGCAAACTAATTTGATCATGCAAGTCTCTATCAATCTGAGTCGGTTGTTCATTGGTCTTTTCATCTTCTTGTCATGAAAATTAACATCATAATTCAGTGGAAATCTTTTGTAAGGTGCCGACTACAACTCTATACAAGAATCCCCACCGGTAATGACAACCAATGCCACTGGAAATTTTTTCATCACTACTTCAGTGGTTCAGAGCTAAGTGTCGCGGAAATGCGTATGTTGCGTTGGATTTGCGGTCATACAAGAAGGGATCGAGTTCGGAACGATGATATACGTGATAGATTAGGGGTAGCGCCAATTGAAGAAAAGCTTGTCCAACACCGGTTGAGATGGTTTGGACATGTGCAACGGAGACCCCCAGAGGCACCGGTGCGTAGTGGCATCCTAAGCCAGGATAGTAACGTGAAGAGAGGCAGAGGAAGACCGAAGTTGACTTGGGTAGAGGCAATAAAAGGAGACTTGAAAGGATGGAATATACCC